CAGTTTCTCTAAGCGGTGGACACTTGTTCTATCATATCTAAAAGGTATACCTAAAATATCTAAGGCAGAACTGCTTTAGATATTTATTTTCAGATGTAAAATAGCAACTGATGCTCTCCAAGTGAAGCTGGTATTTTCTCTTACATTGTTTTTAAGGTGTAGCATTTTAAGCTTTAAGTAACAGATTGTCCTGAAAAATGTGTAGATTCCCCCACAGAGATGGGAAAAAGACACAAAGCAGCCATTTTGATAGTCTAGGCTTTCACACAGCACAGCACAATCAGGGTTTAAGTTTAGGCTTTACGGATCATCTCTGTTTATATGATTATCATGATATTTCTCCCTTTACTGAGGAGTATCCAGATAAGGAATATGAATCCTACCTGAACTGAGAAGAACTTCCAGCTTGCCATATTTTGGGGAGGAGGCTCGCCAGCTCCAGGAGTAAACTAGGAACTGGGGTGTCCTGTGCAGTTTAGGGACACACTGTGACAGTAGTGAGCACAAGTAGGCAACTGAGGTTTGCCTACGCCTTTGAAATATTGCCAGTGATATACGAGAGACTCTACACCACAGAGGAAATAATTCATACTGTTTCCACATTATATAGTCATTGAAGCTTTATTTCTAAAGGTGGAAAAAAATCTGAAACAATTCTTAGCATTTATGAATGAGGTGGACAGTGGTTAAATCATGACAAATGTTCAGCTGATAGAATGTTAAACAACTCTTGAAAATACTTATTTAGATATTCAGAATATGACCAAGGAATAACATGGAATAATGTGGAAAATATAGTAACGTGTAAAATATTTCAGTGTACATTTTAAAGAGAAAAACAAACAAAGCAGGATAAATTTAGCTTAGGGCTTTCTCCAATTCTAGAGTGATGCAGAATCTTCCCGGTCCTTCCAGTCTCTTGTAATAGCCAATAAAAACCTCCTATTTAGGTGGTGGGATTGTGACATCACCAATAAGACAGCCAATCTCTTTGATGAGTATTTGCATAGTTTACTCCTTCTAATCCAACAGAACTCAGTTTCTTTTAAGGAAAAGCCTTGAGTGGAAGTATGACTTTGCAGCAGAAAAAGAAGAAAATTATATTAACAAAGATGTATTTGTAATGGTATTGCTATCCAAATATAGTGTTCAAAATTAGATCTGTCCCTTCAGGCAGCACTTTTATCTTATGCTAAATCTTTAAGTAGCTCTCTGACGACTACTTATCCTATCCGTTTGATGTTTAACTGTTAGATGTTTAAATGCTGGTGTTGTAAAAAAGGGTGTGTTTGTGCGGGAGGAATGGCTCACATGGTGAGTACCCCCGCAGCAAGCCTGAGACCTGAGTTCAGACTCCAGTACCAACAAAATGATGCTCCCTAATGTTATAGAGAGATGCTAATCCAACTTTAGCGTTAAAAATTTTTAAAGACAAACATGCGTACAAAGTAGGAAATTATTTTCTTTGATACTTGACAAGCATTATACTACTGGCAAAAAAATTTAAAAAAAAGTTTTATTCAGACCTAATTGCTGTTATAAAAAGAAAACTCACTTTAATCTTGGCACCTTATCCTCTGCTATTAAAAAGCCATCATTTATCAAACCATAGGATCTGAGTGTTGGCCAGGGAACAAGATGTTGTAACTGCTCTGCATCCTCCTTGATATGTACTTACTGGTTGACCAGCTTTGATACTTCCGAATGCTTTCATCATCTAACTGAGGTTTCCACGGAGAATGTACTTGGCTCCATGGGTTAAATCTGCCTTTTTCATCTGTCATTCAGGGGGCTTGGACAAGTTAATTATGTTTGCTTCATCTGGGCTGTCTTGTTTGCTTTTGGATATACTGGGGTTTGAATTCAGGGCCTTCTCATGCTTATAGGCAGGTACTCTTATCATGAAGCCATAGCTCTAACAAGAAACAAGGATTTTTTTTTTTTGGGTGGGGGTGATACTGGGGATTGAACTCTGGCTCTTCTTGTTGTTTTTGTTTTTTGTTTTTCTCAGCAAGTGCTTTACTACTTGAGCCATTCCCTCAGTGTCATCTGCTTTAGCTACTTAAATCTTCAAGTAACTACCCAAGGGTAGATAGGATTAGCCCTTATTTATAGGTGAGAAAAACAAAGATGAAAGAGGTGAATATATTCAACTGTACAAAAACTCACAGAGTAATAGAACCTGAATTCTAACATGAAATTTCTAATAGCCAGACCAGCATTCTTCCCACTACACCATTCATTTACTTATAATTAACTAAATGTGCCAAAATAGAATGGCAAATGCTATTCCTTACATACTAAACAGAACCACTTGCATTGTAAATCTGCAAATGTTTTGTCTTATCTTAAATATAAAAACATAGTTTTTAGTGTGTGTTTTTCCCCTGAAGAATCACAACACAATAGAATGATCCCATCCTTTAAATTAAATCAAGGAGCCCAAGTACTTTCAAGTCCTATGTATCTGAAGTACTCAATCATTTGTGGTCAATGAGAATCTGCAATTGGCTGGAAAACAGTGGCTGAGGTCCCTCAGGTCTCTATACTGACTCACCATTCAAACTTGTTTGGCAGTAGTATATTCATTACTACAAAACACTGTCACTGTTTGAAATTGAGCTTGAGTTTCCAAGGATAGAACCATTAGACTGAAGCATGTAACCCTTTTGTAACGCAGAGAGATGGGACTTATCGTGTGTCAGAAAATATCTAAGAGCTTGACATACACTACCCAACATGCTAAAAGGTAGGCATTGCTACTAGCCTTATTGCAAATAACTAGGAAACTAGGACACAAGGAGTGAGAGCTGGGGATGTAACTCAGTGGTAAAATGCATGCTTAGCCTACCCTGACTTCAATCCTCAGCACCAAAAACAAACACCAAAATCTTTTTCCTGGCCTATATTAAGCCTTGCTTGGCTGCGATGTTGTATATAAGTACAAAATAATACAAAAATCAAATTGAAGCAGGATGCGATATCACACATGCGGAATCCCAGTACCTGGGATACTGAGGCAGAAAGATGGAGTTTGAAACCAGGCTGGGCTAAAAGCAAGAGCTTGTCTCAACAAAACAAAATAAACCCCCAAATTTAAGATCAACTTCAATCCAGTATCTAAATGAGCCATAATTCAAAATTATGTTCTCTATTTCCTTAGGATTTCTATAGAATCCTACTTTTTTCCAGCTTGGAGTCAAGAATATAGGTTATTTGCTAGCATACCACTTAGCCTGTCCCAAGACTTGCCTAGGATTTGTGGGGCCTTGGCGCTTCTGGGCCAGCTTGGACAGAAGCAGTGTGTTCATCTCCCTTACGTTTTGCACCAGGGTAAACTGTCCCCTTTGGTTCTGTCTAATCTTGCCCACCATCTACTCTGCCCTTTCTCACCATTGAAAATGCCAAAGGCTTATAGCTTTGTATTTTTACATGTTGGCTGGGCTGATTGTGTAGTGGATATGTGTGTGTGTGTGTGTTTGTGTGTGTGTGTGTGTTGGGGGTGAGGAGAGAGGTTTTCCTTTTCAGCCCATCCTAAATTTCTATCTTCTAAAAACGGAGCCGCTTAGTTTAGAAAGTGGCTGCTGACTTTAGCAAATCCCTAACAACTCAATCTCTTCTAGGATACACATTGAAATGAGTGGTTAGAATAGGAAGGATATGGAACAGAGTCAGGAAGTTCACAGAGCAGTGGGATGGCAGGGAGGCTAGAATGCCTCCCTTGTGTGTGAAAGAGACTGGTAAACTGTAAAATCCTTCAGAGATGTCACTGTGACTCCCAGACTGAGTCCTTCATCGTCACAGTGTAAGCCAGTGGTTCTCAGATGTTAGTTGGCATGCGAATTTCCCGGAGGGCTTGTCAAAACACGGACTTGTGGGCTCACTACTTCTGATTCCGTCTATCCTGCCCCCAGCCAAGAATTTACATTGGATGCGGTTCCCGGGTGATGCTTGATCCTGCTGGTCCTCTGCTTTCTGGAGATGCACCCTCCGTTTTTAGCACAGTAGGTGTGCAATCTGCCACACAGGTAGTTACTATTCCTATGCTGTCTATCTTGGGATCCCCAGCGTTTACACTCTTCCGTGTTGATTTGCTCCAAGCCTTTTGGCTGACGGGAAAAGAGACAATATCCCCCCCCCCCCCCCTTCTCTTCTGTATGTATCCTCTTCCTGCCCTAAGTACCCATTCTTATTTCGAAGCTGCTTCACAAGAACAGGAGATTCTCACCCAAGTCGCTACGCTCACTGTGCAAGTGTCAATTTCTGAGCACAAAGCACCAAGTACTCGCGAGAGGTGCAAACAGAGAGGGGGTGGTGGGCTGGCCCCTCCTGCTGCTTTAAGTGAGCCGTAGGTTGGTGACTCACACGAAGTATCCTCGAAGGGCTCGTGTCTCCCGAATTGGGAGGGATGGATACAACCCCGCGTGCAATGTGTGCGGGGCAGGATGACAAAACACCCTTATTTCACACACACACATACACACACACACCGCCAACACAGCGAGATGGGCGAGACTCTTCCCTTGACAGGGTCCCTCCAATGCTGAGCCCCCAGGAACCCTCCGCCCGCGTACCTAACCCACAACCCGCCCTCCGCAAGGCCAACACGCCGCACCGCATCCCTCCCCGCCCTCCTCCCAGGGGCTCGCACAGTGCAACCAACCCTAACCAGCGTAGCCGCGCGACGCCCCCACCTCGGCCCGCCGGCCTTCCGATTGGCGGGATGGCGCTGTCACTCCGCACGCCCCGCCCCCTCCCGCTCGCGGGC